ATAATTAAAACAGTATTTTACGGGAAAATTGTGTAAAAGTACTAAAAATGTGAATAATATTCAAAATGCGTGCAAAACATGACACATATGTTGAGAGAGAGAGAGAGAATTGCAATACAATTAATATTATGCAAATAATGCTATTATGCTAAATATAATTGCAATTAAATAAGATTACTTTAATTGTTAAAATGAATAGTAAAATGAAATAGTGTTTAAATTGCAATTAATTATCAAAACATTTGCATAAAATGTTTAAAAAGTTGAAAATAAGTTTGCATTGAATTCGCGGACGTATTTATGCGGACGTAATGTATGTTTGCGTACAATAAGTGTTGACTGCATTGAAGAGTTGACTTCCCTTTCCTGAAAGTGTGTCTCCAATACAAGTCATTCAACGACATAAACAATGGTATGATTTGCGATAATTAAGACATTTAATGACAATTAATCACTCAATTGATCCCAACAATAGGCGAAGAGAACGAAGAAAGTGGGAGTCGTCGGCAAATACGGCACCAGATATGGAGCGTCTTTGCGAAAGATGGTGAAGAAGATGGAGATCACCCAACACTCGAAGTATTCGTGCACTTTCTGTGGCAAAGAGTCGATGAAGAGGACGTGTGTCGGCATCTGGAGGTGCGGCGCCTGCAAGAAGACTGTGGCCGGAGGTGCCTATGTCTTCAGCACCACCGCCGCCGCCACTGTCCGCTCGGCGGTCCGTCGTCTTCGCGACACCAAAGAGTTGTAGTTTGTTTGCGGTCTTCTCTCGTCGATCACTACATCTGATCCGAACATTCATTTGTATTTTGTCTATATTTAAAATGAGTGAATAAATTGGTGTTTGAATACAATTAATGAATGACTCGTTTCTCTTTGCTTTGATTGATAATTGGCTTTTAATTACGCTTATAATTGGTTTCGCTATTAATATATCGATACAAATATCGTAAATATGTTACAAAATTAAATCATTGTTTCATTTACACAACACTTAATATAATTATTACATAAAATGTATGACTTTTTAATATTTATCTTAATTTTAGACTTATATTTGGTATTTGAAAGCAGTTTTAAGTATAAAATTAAGTATAGATTTGTCGAAAAGCAACACATGATTTGACTGACTATAGAAATACTGTTAGTTTTTAGGCATAATTGTGTTTTGCGCTCTGAATTGAACCAAAAAAATAGCAAAAAACTAACAAAAATAACTCGAAATGAAATACAAAACTAACGACTAAACAGCTAAACGTTTTTTTGACGCTTATTTTGTGATCCTTTGGCGAAGTCTTGTATTTCTGTATCAGAGATGAGCTCATAATCGTCTTCAATGTTGTCGGAACTGCTGTTTCGGCTGAAGTGAGAGCTCACGAAACGTATGCCACCACTCGATCGACTCGAATGGCCGCTTGAATGAGAGCTCAGCGAACGGGTGTCCAGTTTGATGTCCTCGTCATTTACCTGAGCCTCAATTCCCAGCTCTTTGTCGAGTGTTATGTCTAACTGTGTGTCCGATAAGAGCTGTAGAGACGAGTCCTCACTCTTATCATACGCTGAATTGAGTTCATATTCAGTGCTCTTTAGGTACTCGTGAAGAGCGATCTCAGAGAGTCTCTCCTTTTCCGATATATCGTCGGCCGTCTGGCGTTCGCCATCTTTCTCGTCCGTCTCATCACTTTTGGGATTAGGAATAAAAAAATCTCTCAACACTTCGTACAACCCGTCGGGCAATACATATATCGCAAATCCCGGCCCCAAAGCCATTATCATCGCTAATAAACCAATCAATTATGAGACCAATTAGAAGATGTGTTATTATATACACAAATAGAGGCAACACTTACTAATAGAGTAGACAATAAGCACTCCGGGAACGAGTCGTCCGATAATAGCAGTCATGAATAATATAGAAGTGGTTAATAAGAAAAACTTGAAACGCTTTTCACGTCTTAATTTGATTAACCATAAGATGATAGCTCTCGACATAACACATAATTCATTAATATAGTAATTGATTTCGGGAGCGCTTAGCACTTTCGGGTGAACGGGTGTCCATCTGTACGGAGAATTGAACGCAAAATTATAATATTTTCAATGCTTTTCAGTGAAGAATTCAAATACAAGTCATTCAGTAATCAGAGGAATGAGACAAAAGAGATAAATACAAAAATTTAATGTGAACTTCATTGACATAATAAACAACAAAATTTATTTCAACGCAAAACAGATCACAAACTCGTGATTATAGTTATAAAAAGACGCCTAAAATCAGTAGCAGAGAAAGAGAGAGATAAAGCGAATGCAATGACTGAACATAATGTTTGGTACCAATACTCTCACACGGAATATAAGAAAAATAAAAATTACAAAAAATTTTGTTGAATACGATTCAAAAACTTGTGGATTAGACGTAACGGTAAAGTCCCATAAAGTTATGCCACAAATGACAAACAAATTCTGGTAAATATTTGCACAAAACTTATGGTGTGATTAAGAATCAGATTTTTAACAATCAATTGTTTGCTAAAAGTAAAAGTGAAGGAATATTAGGGATCTCTTCAAACACTGGGAACTCAACATTTATTCATTAAACATAACTCGTCTATAACTTTATTAAAACACATTTCTTGGCATTAATTTCTAGCATACAATCAGTTTGTTAATGAATTTTTTGTTATATATAAAGAAAAGAAAATATTTTTCAATAAACAAATCAATAAAAACGAGTCACACATCATATGAATGCATGGATTTGTACAGAATTGGGAATAACTGGCAAATACTGGGGAATGACTGATATATACAACTGATAAGACAATGATATCGTTTATACAATATATTTATGTAATAATTATGTAATAATGAGAGCAAAACAT